AGTGTCTCATGGTGGCCATGATAATGATGCAGTTTATAGTCAAAGAAGCATCTTTCATAAATCATATTGAATGCTTTTGCCTCTGTAACAGAATAGATCCTAAATATCACCTTTATCGTGGACAGAGGTCGACCAATCAATCATCTCAGTGTGTGTACGACGGCTCTGTATCACTAGGTCACATCTGGACACTAACTGTGATGGATGAGAAGAAAGGATGACTAGACACATACGTGAGCTGGTATTTCACCTTCAATTCATTCTATTCAGATAAGATTTTCCCTCAAGTATAAATACCGGTATAGCAAGTATGATATAGAACTGAGCTGGACGATGACATCACTGTTTTCTGCAGAGCTGCTGTGTAACTGAATTGAACTCATTTATTAACTTTACAATGACTATATTGTCTTTTAAGAGCTGCTTTACAGAAGAATTGAAAAGCAGCTTTGAAACAACCTGTATTGGATAAAGTGCTATCGGTGACTTGACTTGATGTACTTTGTATGCATTTACAGAAATTAAACTGCAAAACTGGTCATTCAGAAATAAATGTTACGGAGTCACAGCCATGCGCTCATTAACATATGACCAGCCATATTTGCATATCAACACCCATTCAGTAAACCTAACTCATCCTCATTAAGTACAATGTGAACTAAACTAGTACAGAGATTGTGTGGTCACTGACATATTGATAAGATGTCTTAAAGGTACAGTAGTAAAAACTGCCTTAAACTGCTTAGAGTGGGGGGGAAACTAAATATGACTGCAAGAAACTATCTGGGGAAAAAATGCTTCAATAGTGTACAATTTTGTCCCTTTAATGGGTTTATCTAATGAAAGCATGCCCAGGTTTAATTTCAATAATGGAATCGATAATGGAAAAATAACAAACTATATATCCTGGACACATTCAATGAGGTTCTGTGAGATTCACCCTCACATCCTTTCGTGTTATAATCTATTTTCAGTACAGCTGAATATGTGAAGTGTGTGTGTGTGTGTGTGTTGACTTCACACCCCTAGTGATGGTTATAGATGTGAACACATGGTTAGAGAACAGGTAATGTGTTCTGACACAAAAAAAACAAAGAGAACCTAAGTCTAAGAAAATACACACACAAACATATAGACGCACAAACTACAAAATCCCTCCTCCTAAGAAAATAAGAAATTAGATTAGCATAAAGACTATATTTTAGAACCATTTAAAAAAAAAAAAAAACATCTCATTCTAATGTAATTTCATTAAATAATTAAATGAAGTTCCTAAACGTAAGTTAGGGAGGAGCGAGCCCATCCAATCTTTCAATCAACAAACAGAGTATATAAGCAGCCGCTTACCTCTCCCTAGTATCAGCTGTTCCAGTATCCCTCCACCTCCCCAAACTCCACCTTCATCTTAGGTACCTTGCCCTTTAATTAACAGGTCCTACATTTAGCCACTGGGGGGTATATCAGAGCTCGAGTTGAAGCTGCTTCATCGAGCCCCTCTCCAGCGGACAGCAAGCCAAATAAGTTTAACCTAATATCTTAAAGATTTTTGGGCAAACGAACTCGTTAAATAAATGTATACATCATAATGAATTAAACTGATTTGGGAAACTACATTTAAAATATCTGGATGCATTAGGGTTAGGGGTTAGGGTTAGGGTTAGGGCCGTAGCTAGAGGATTCGGGGCCCCCTGAAAAAATATTGATGTGGGCCCCCACCACCCTCCACCAATATCATATACTGTACAATAGATGAACATGGAGGCCCACATAACAGAAGATGGTGATGTTGTTGTAAAACCTTTATTTTAAAAGTTAAATGTTTATATAAAAATTACAACTAATAAAAACTAACAAACAAGCAAGAAATTGTTCAATAATAATAAAACCAATTTTTAAAAAGTAATAATTTTTTTCCCCATCAGTCTGTTATAATTCATCTATCAAAGTGTAAACATTTAAAAAATTGACAAGAATGCAGTCTAATTCAAAAAATAAAAGCATTCATTGTCTTATTTTTTAATAAAGATAATATGGAACTGGTAATATTATTAAATAAAGCGAATAGGCCTACATTTATTCATCCAAGTGCAGTGTGTTGTATTCATGTTTTCTCGATGTTTTAAATATCATCAGCCGGCAGGTCAGATGCATAATGCAATGCATCGTGACTCCTGTAATTTTTTTTAAAACTCTAGTTACAATACTGTAAAAAGACAGGAATTTAGACCACGTAATCATTCGGTCGATTGCGGCGCGCACCGATAATAAAAAATGACTGTAGGCCTACACGGCAGACTGTAGACGGAAGTTTTCTAATTCCCAGCGAAATAACAATATATAACCGGTCTTTAAGAACGTCTTGATCGACTGGGATACAACCACTCTCCTTGCCTCCCTCTCCGTCTTTTCCTGGCATTTCTGGTTCCCTGATTTGTTTTCTTTTCCCCGACATTTTTCAGTCAGTTAGTCTCCTGCTCTTCCACCAAGTTCATCGTTAACTTCAGGCTGCTGCCTCAACTCTGATTGGTTCTGTTCACGAGCTGGGGCGGGACTTACAATTTTATTGGGTCCATCTGATGTTTGTCACTGACTCTGACTGAATAATTAATACATACTTTAGGTCGGACTAAACCATTTTTATGGAGGTAAGAGAAGCAGATATTTGGAAAAAATATTTACCCAAATTGCACGTTTTTGTGGTTTTCATTTAAATCTCAGGCATACAACTAATATAAATTTTAGAATTATTCATACTACAGGGGCCTAAATAGTATAACTGCTGGATTTTGTGGGGCCCCCTGGGCAGCTATAATTGTCACCACCTTTCACCCCACTAGCGACGGCCCTGGTTAGGGTTAATATATAGTACATAGGTTGTATCAGCGACTTCAGGCCCAAACTTTGACCACGCTGGCCATGCCGAGATCTTCTGCTCCTTCATCCGTCATCTCCCAGAGCTTTCATTCCTGACCACCAATTTCCTGAACAAGAGGCCGACAGGCTTTGATCAATACGTCACTGTTGTTTTCCCTCCCTCTTTATCTAAATCTATGCCTCTGGAAAAATGACAAGACAAACTCCGGCCTCTTTGTCTTAATTTTTACAGCACCAAATTGAATTCCGCCACCCTTCCATCACAAGTGAGAAGTTCAAGGGGCAGAAGAAAGTAAAGAGAGAGAGAACAGTACCATGCTGGAATATTCTAGCTTCTGAGAAAAGAAATAGTTGTCAATAATGAAACAATGGTGTCAGAGTTACAAACTACAACTCCCATAATGCATCTCCATGCAGGTCAGTAACGTTTCGCACTGTGTTCTCATGCCTTCAGTCAACGGTCAAGACATTGAACATTGTTTTTGTGTAGCCTATTTAAGTTTACAAAGTCAAAGATACGTATGTGGGCAAAAAGTGCCTCTGTATGAGTTCTTGTTTTTAATATTTATAATATATGATATAGTTAAGCAATCTAACATGAGCAAAAGAGATGTTTTCCCGAATAACAGCACAATTCCAAATGTGATATTGACAGCTTAATTACAAGCTATACATTTTAGACACAATATTGTCTGTTTTTGCTCTATTTATTCCAAACAAAGCCAGAACAGAACGGTTGTGCATCTCAGAGCAAAACACAGCGGCGTTCCGTTTTGAACGAATCGATTGAATTAATAATTCAATGAGACAGTGACGTACAGCCAAATATAATTTTTTTTATCATTTCATATTTCTGTATTCAAAATGTTATATTTAAAACATTAATCTCATAACAATATGCAATTGTGATTGCAATGTAAATTCATTAATGTCACCATGAGCTGCATTACACAGCCTGTAACTGTAATAATAATTAAACTCTGCAATGCATTTTATTGACACTGATTTTATTTTATATTGGCCCGTAATGGGAAAGTTTATTTCTGTCATCGATCAGAAGGTGCTCCTAAATTTTTGATTGTGCTCCTAAATTTTTCAAATGAAAAATGTAAGATTAAGAATGTAATTGTAAAGCCTCGCCATAACTCATATTAACCATAGACTGTAAAAACGATATTAACCCATATGAACCGCTTGTCTCTAAAACTGCAGTGCACACTAGAGCACTTCTGACCTCTGGTGCATATTCAGGGAATCACACGTTTGTGATATATGAACAATAGCTTTCCATTCATTCCCTTTCCTAGTATTTGTCTGCATATCCCTGTGTATTTCATGTGCCTCTTATAAACGTTATTTTTATTAAGCATGAGGGCATAAGTTAAGGAAGGGAATGTAATGCTCAAACCTCATGTTGATTCAAACCTGTTTGACTTTCTCTCTCTTGTCAAACACAAAAAGGAGTTTACCGGACTGCCAAGATGCTTTTTTATGCAATAAAAGCAAACGTTGACTTTGCAAGAACAAAAAGCACTGTCAAATTTCTAATACTAAAAATTAATTCTAATTCCTGCATTACATGTCACAAAAATAATCAGTATCTTTGTCTTATATATTTAAACATCCTTAAAGTTACATTTATTAGAAGATATTAGGACTTTTTGTTCCTGCATGCATGTTAAATGTGTGTTGTCTTTGTATTGTGTTTTATAAATATAGTAAATGTATCAGATAGAAATACTGTAGTATTTGACATATGGGTACCTGATATGAAATACTTCTAGAAAGCTGACTTTGAATAAATAGAATATTTGCATTTTTTTAAATCTTCACATCACATGACCTTTGAAATGAACCAGAGGAAAAAGTGACTAAATATTGTGAAAAAATTAACCAAAAATACTGACCACATGAAATAGGTAAATTGTACAACTCCCCTTAGATTTCAACCTAAAATCTTGACATTGATTAGAAGCAAGTCCATGTACATATTAGAGTTATTCATTTACCATTGCATTTACATTGTATTCCAATAGAATACAAGCTCAATAACACAAGGTACTTTCTATAATTTATTAAAGGTGAAAGCCTCAAATCTATTTTGAAGTAAAATACCATACCAAGGAGAAGGTGGTGAGAGTGTTTATTGAGGTCGAGTCGTTACAAACGAGATTATTCTCCAGTTGCCTTCACATTTCAACACGAAATGGGTCTATATCGCAAACACAATAGTGCAACACAAGATTTATCATATTATTTGCTCCATAAATACTCCGAACAAACACCCTGTCAAGCTGAATGCATGTTTTGCATTTGATCTGGAATTAGATGTAAAATAATTGTTGGTTTTCTCTTCATTTACACTGTTTCAGCTAAATGTCTTTATCTGTGTGACACACATATGAACAATAAAAGAGAAACAATACAAAAAAGATTTAGAGGGACAGTTTAGTCCTAAAAAGATGCACAGGGAGTCAAATCATATATATTTTTTCACTTAGGTCCACATATCTAATGCTAAAGTTGATTGGATTCATTGTTTTGCAACAAAAACAAAGTTCTTTGCCTGAAAATTTTCAACCTGTTCTGAGCAAACAAAAAATGTATATCTAAATGTGGTCAGTCATGTGATAACGTTTGAATTGCATATCAAATGTTCATCCATTTGGAGTTTTAACATTATGCATCACATTAAGTTTAACAGTTTGTTATCTAAATCTATTTATTAGCGAGTAGTTCAGAACAAGTTGTTTTTGTAGCTTTGTTTTAATAAATGCTTTTTATTCTGAAACAGTATATTGTCACAAGACATCAGGCTCTTTTATCTGAAAATGGATTCCTCACGATATGACCCGTTTGGAGACAGACAGACAGACAGACTCGTTTTGTGGTGGGACAGACAGAGACAGAAGAGGCAGTTGCCCATCACAAGAGGAGAAGAGAGGCGTGATTGGGCTACAGTGCTAGCGGCAGCGGTCTAAGCCAATCGGTGAGCTGCCAAATGTCACATGTCACAGCGTGCTGGTGGAGGAGGATGCCAGCCGTTTCCCTATGTATATTCTGAGAAAGAAAGAAAGAAAGAAAGAAAGAAAGAAAGAAAGAAAGAAAGAAAGAAAGAAAGAAAGAAAGAAAGAAAGAAAGAAAGAAAGAAAGAAAGAAAGAAAGAAAGAAAGAAAGAAAGAAAGAAAGAAAGAAAGAAAGATAATCTGTCATCGTTTCTCATCTCTCTTTCTTTGTGTTCTTTCTTATGCAGCATCAATGCATGTAATGAAAATGGAAGTCAAAAATTCAATTTGTTCAGCTCAATACATTTTAGAGAGTCTGAGCACAAACATTTTTATTTGTTTCTGATTTATTGGAAACACAGACATATGGGACTCGGGGGCTTATGCAGAGAAACACTCACAGCGTCATGAGCCAAAGATACAATTTGATCTACAGTTATTTTTACAAAGCCAAAATGGCAGAGAAGCCTCATTTTGATAAAAGTTATTCATACTTTTATTCAGCGAGGACCCATTCAAATCATCAAGAGTGAAGAGGAGAAAAAATGTTGATAGGTGAAGAAAAGTGAAGAGAAGTGTCTCCATTAGCAATACTATTTAAGATACGATAATTTTGCGGATTCACTCTTGCATTTAAATGCATAAACACTCCCAATCAAAAACAAATAAAAAAACAGATTGCCATCACTAATGGATGGCAAAACGCACACTCTGACATTTGAGCACTATGTGTACAATGGTCTATTTAAATTCCAAGCGCTGACTCGTGACTTTCAATGCAAATAAGGCTTATGATGGGATCGAAAATGGCATGTTTAAACGCTCTTTCCCAATCAACATCAATCATCTTTTGCATTAAAATCAGCCATAGACTCGCAAGAAAACAATGAGTTCAATGGGGTTATATGGGGATGGGATGAACGTCCGCAGAATCCTACACTTTTTTTAACGCAGATAAACAGTGCTTTAATTCTGTAATATATTAAAATGCACAAAGGGAAATATATATGGACTGTTTGAACAGATAAATCTCATTGCCGTCTTAAAGCTATCGCTGATTTGCAATGATATTAAAATGAACATATTAGAGGTTAGGATATGATATGAAATATGATCTGAGAAACTGCCTCACCCCAGACCCAGCGTCAGAGCATGTGAGGCGAGCAGAGAGGGCAGGAGGATGAGGAGCACGTCTGAGGAAAACAAACCCCTCTTCATCACCTCAGTCTTCCTCACGCTCAGAGAGCCTGACTGCTTTGGGTGATGAAACACAAACTCCCTACAGAGAGAGAAAGAGAGAGAGAGATCAGGGTCATTCAGCAATATAATCTAGATTTATATACATGGATTTAGGACACTGAAGATGTGAGAATATAAATATATTCAATAAGGGGGCCCATTTTAACAATTTAAACGTGTGGTCTAAACTAAAGCGTGTCCGGATCCACTTTTGCTAGTTTAACGACGGGACAAATGGTCGGCGCACCCGGCGCATGGTCTAAAAGGGTTGTCCCTATTCTCTTAAAGGGATAGTTCACTTTGAAATTAATTTTTGGTTTGTTTTAGCTTACCTCAAGGGCATCCTAGATGTAGGTGTCTTTGTTTCCACAGTAGTTTCAATTTTGATATTTTTAGGTCAAACCGTTCTTGTCTGTCAGTCATATAATGCAGGTCTATGGTCACCACCTCAACAAGCATGCACAGAGAAGTCCAAATTAAACATGATTTAATGACTCGTAAATGTAAGTACACATTGATGGCCTACGACACGAAACGAGCGGTTTGTGTGAGAAAACGAACAGTATTTATATCGTTTTTACCTCTTTTACCAAGTCGTTTTCTCACACAAACCGCTCGTTTCGTGTCTTAGGCCATCAATGTGTACTTACATTTACGAGTCATTAAATCATGTTTAATTTGGACTTCTCTGTGCATGCTTGTTGAGGTGGTGACCACAGACCTGCATTATATGACTGACAGACAAGAACGGTTTGACCTAAAAATATCAAAATTTAAACTACTGCAGAAACAAAGACACCTACATCTTGGATGCCCTTGAGGTAAGCTAAAACATACCAAAAATTAATTTCAAAGTGAACTATCTCTTTAATGAGTAATGGGTGTGTTTTGGGCGTAACGTGCAATAAACCAATCAGAGTGTAATATCCTATTCCCTTTAAAAGCCAGTTGTGCTTGCGCCATGGCGGATTCGCTATTTACATGTATGAGACTCTAGAGAAGAAACGGATCTGCTCGTGAGCTTATTTTTTATTCTCATTATAAATGACAGTTTTATCAGTATAATTTCAGTGAGAAGCTGTTTTAAAAAATGCACATGAATCTGCGAATGTCTCAGTATTCGGTGCATCTCTCTTTTGCTTTAATGACAGCCGCAATGGAGCAACATGAACAAAACCTGATGATCAAATGGCTGAGGAAAACTGGTCAACTGGAGTGACAAGACTAGATCGTTTCATTCTTACCTTTATATTCCAAAAAAGTGCATTCGGGAACAACTTGGCAGTAAAGTCAGCAATATATAATATGAGTAGGCGCAATGCTAGAGCTTTAGTATAAACAGGTCGCGCACTGCGCTCGTCCATTCAATGACAATGACTGACACTGCAAAATATGTAAATATGAACCCATGGTTTAGGAATGCACAAAGTGAAACGTCAGTTTATTAATACCCAGGATTACGGTGTGAAAAGCCCTTATATGTATTAGATCAGGGGAGTCTAATCCTGCTCCTGGAGGTCCACTGTCCTGCAAAGTTTAGCGCCGCCGCCAACCCCAATTAAACACACCTGAAGCAGCTAATCAAAGTCTTACTAGACCAAAGCTGCTTGAATGTCAATGGAGGAGAAGCTTCACTCATGCTGAATAAACCGCTTTTGTGAGGAAATAGCTTATCATTGAATTAATCGACAGCCCATTGGCTAATCTTCAACATGTTTGCTCATAAACATCAGTTTTGGATTGATCTATTTTCAGAGTTTACACCGAAAACGAAATGCTGTTTGAATTAAAGGTAAATCTTACTTGGGCGGGAGGTTTTCTAGCCGACCTAACCAAAAAAAGCTGTTTTTCAAGAGAAGTCACAGACAATTTCGCCACAGGTATGATTCAGTTTAAAGGGGTGGTATAATGCCCTTTTCACAAGATGTAAAATAAATCTCTGATGTCCCCAGAGTGTGTATGTGAAGTTTTACCTCAAAATACCCCACAGATATTTTTATATAGCATGTTAAAATTGTCACTTTTTTAGGGTGAGCAAAAACGCAACGGTTTTGTCTGTCCCTTTAAATGCAAATGAGCTGCTGCTCCCTTTCAAGAAGAGGGCGGAGCTACAACAGCTCGTGTCCTTTTACCCGACACGTGCATTGAAAATTTCAAAAACGTTTAGCCTTTTATGTTCAAACCGGAGTCAGACAATGATGGAGAGACTCAAGAAGAAGTGTCAACATGTAGAAGCAACAGGACATTTCTTGAATGGTTAGTTGATTAATTTATGTAGCTTATGTGTAGTTATCTTCTAGTCACTGATTAGCAAATTCTGTCATGATAATCTATAACTCGTGTTCCAGGGGCGGGGTTTATGTAAATTTTAGAGTTAGTGATGTCACTAACCCAGGAGGAATGTCGTGTAGTCCCTTCCAGCCGTTTGTTGTAGTCCTTAAAGTAACAACAGGTAACTTTTCAGCCTTCATAATATATTTCCAAGTCTCTTGTGATGGTACATCGACTTACAATAGGTTGAATGACACGTCTGCCATAGCCTGACGGGGTCTGTAGCGTTTTTAATCGTACTTTTAAACTTCGGGTTTCGGGTAGTAACCGGCGAACAAAGATAACTACAAAATTCGACTGCTTTACGGCATATACGTCACTTCCACCACCACCCCCACTTCCTTAAAATCGGACTTGCGAGCCAAATGTTATAGTCATGGCCGAAGCAGCACAGAAAAACAAGAAAGCAAAGGTTTTATCGGAGCAAAGCAAAAAGAGAAAAAGAGAAAGTGATCGCGTTAAAGGCAGAACGAGGATCAACATTGCAGAGCTGCCAACTCTCACGCATTGGCCGTGAGACACCCGCTTTTGATTGGTTTCACACGCTCACACGTACGCCACACCCCCGGTTTCTCACGCTAAATTGTCAACCCGGTCGGTCAAATGCCTGAAAGATGAGTTTATCTATAGATCTCTACCTGTTGAGCCACTCGTGATCGACAAGTTATACCGCAAATTAGTTCAAATCTCCCGGAATCTAGAGCGAGCGCGCACGCGAGACAGAGACTGTGCTCCAACGCGCGCGGACGGCAGAGAGAGAAAGCGAGCGAGGGACCTTGCGTGTGCAGGGAGCATCGAACCCCCCATCGAAAAAAGAATGCCTCTCTCTAACCTCTCTAATTCGCTAGAGTAGTAGCGAATTATCAATCTGGTAGCTAGTAAACGATATTCTAGTTTTTGATGGTTAGCTATCGCTAGTATTCTCGTTCTGATTTGAACTTTGCAATCGATGAAATGCCAATAGCAAATGTTTGACCTAAAAAGTGTAGTCTACTCAACATGTACAAAGAAAGGAGGAAGATTATTAATAAAATCATATTTTAGGATACCTAACATGTCTGTGATATTTGTTTATTTGTCTTGCCTCAAGCTATAATGCAAATCGATTTGTAAAATTTGCAGATTCATTTATGGTAGCTTGATATTATAATATTGACGATATATGGTTATTATCAACCACTCAAACATTGCATTGAAGTATCATATAGATTCAGTAAAACGGTAACCAATAGACTAGGCTACTATAATGACGCTGGCTTGTAAACGCGATCATTTGTCGTTATAAAAAAAATAAAACACATGAAATTATATTCATATGACATGCTGAAATATATGCCACTGTACCTGGGATGAAGACATTTCACACACGCGAGAACACCTGCATGTGACCTCCTCCTACAGTGTTCAGGGCTATCATGGTTGTCAACAAATGCACGTGCATGTAGGATGACAGTTTACGACAGTAGTAGAGGACAATACTGTTTCCCAACTGTAGGGGGAGCCCGAGAGCAAAAAACGACCTGTTGTTACTGAAATCCTAATCAACCACCCCATTAAGGCACCTTTCATTCGTTTCTATGGTATCCGCAAACAGTGATTTACTGTCGAAATTAAATGATGTCAAGGCTGTAATGTGATTGGTTATCAAGGCACACGTGATCAAGTTAGCCGTTACGCTTTCTCCAATGGTAGAGCCACGGACCCTCATATCTCCCGATAATAAGACCATCTCTGACTAGGCATACTAGAAACTTGAGGCAAGTTGGAGCTAATCCCTGCAGGACTCTCCTGGACCGAGTATTTGATGCTTTTGAAACAAATATCACGTCAGACTGGAGAATTTAACAAGCGTGCACCATGTGACCCTGAAGGTGTTTTAAGCTTAATTTCCCTGAAACAGATTAAGCCAAATTCAGCATTGTAATCCGTTTAAATCTTGTGTATCCCATCATATAAAGCTTGTTGCTATAATGAAGTCAGACTGGACCTCATACACATGCAAATGTGGGAGAGCAGGAATGCAAGAATATGCAAAGAAGTTTCGTCTTTTCATGAAAAGACATTTAAACATCACAGCTCAATGCAACCAAGATAAAACTCAAAGCCTCATTGGTTGCAGGAAAATGGAGTAGATAGTCTATGTTAAAAAATTGTATGTTCTTTCTTTTTTTTTTTAGAAGGGCTGCAATGACTAATCGATAAAACGATCAAATTTAATGTGAACGTTTTAATTAAATGACTCTACATCAGCTCTATTTCTAAAGACTGATTTCAAATAACCTTTGAAACATTTGTGCAGCAAGATTTATTTTTGCACAGTGCGTATATGCACCATGAAAATTGACAATGACAAAGTAAAGCTTTTTGTGCTTTCTCAAAGGTTTTTGCTTTTAATGGCATCATGATATCGGAGTCTCTATTGCTAAAATCTGCAATCCTACATCATTAAACGTTGCGATCCAAAAAGTTTTTGTTGCAAAGTTTTTGTTTTTTTTATCTGTAATGATATGTGCATTACGATCTTTCTCCTCTAGAGAGCCAACTCAGATTCGCTGACTCATGGTGTGTCGCACAAGCTATTTTTGTGTGGCGACTAAATGATCCTCTCTGAGATTTAAGCAGAGGTATGCAGGGCTAACGGAGGTCAAACGCTCCACTGCAAGAACTGGCAATCTGTGAAGCGCTCTGGTAATCTGAAAGGACACATCAGCACACCTCATTTATTTTCTTCCAAAATGACGTTTTTATGTCCTTAATAAGCATAATTGTATCTAGGACTGTAAACTGGCATCATGTGCACAAAACAAAAGTTAAACTTAATCTATTCCAGGGGTTTTTTGGTCAGCTGAACCTATAGAACTCAATTTAATTAATTACATGAACTATCCTCTGAAATTTTAAGTAGCCTATTGTTCTTATCTTTCTACCATTTAAAAATTTGGGATTTTTAAAAACGTTTTTTGAAAGAGGTCTCTTACAAGGCTGCATTTATTTGATCAAAAATACAGTAAAAGCAGTAATATTGTGAAATATTTATTCCTGTGTTTAAAGCTGAATTTTCAGCATCATTACTCCAGTCTTCAGTGTCACATGATCCTTCAGAAATCACTCTAATATGATGATTTGCTGCTCAAGAATAATTTCTGATTATCATCAATGTTGAAAACGGTTTTTCTGCTTAATATTTTGGTGGAAACTGTGATACGTTTCTGAGGATTCCGTGATTGATTAATATAGATTTCAAAAGAATGACATAGAAATATTTTGTAAGATTATAAATGTCTTAACTGGCACTTTTGATCAATTTAATGCTTATAATTAATCTTAATAAAAAACTTTTTCTTTTTTTTTCTTTTTTTTTACATAATATTGCAATAGTAATGTGAATTTTTTTAAATGCAGATTTTAATGAATGGAAAGTAATGCAAACAACTCAATGCAAAAAAAAACTTAATGGTCTCATAAATAGTTTAAGTATTAATTTCGATACATATTTGTATATACATTAATACTCACTTTTGTATATAAGACCTGAGGAAAGGGTTTGGATTAAACTATTTCCAACAGTCTAACAAACAAACCCCCTGCAGTTCCATCATATACCACAAACTGCTTACGAAACTCAGGTCTATTCAAACCTAATACATTTATTAATTACTAACCATCAACCGCCTATATCTCTTTAGAAGGTGAACTGAAGAGACGAACATGATTTAAGAATATACAACTGAATCAAAGTATGAATTAAAGCAGGTAAATCTTACTTGGGCGGGAGGTTTTCTGGCCGACTGGACCAATCCCACACCCATTCAGCACTCACTTGCCTGTCATTCTCATCCGACTGAAAGAGAAAGAGAGCAGACAGAGACGGTGTGAGCGTATCAAATACATGCATTACATCAGTGCTTCTCAACTAGCTTTGTTGTTTACCTGCTATCTATTACCGCAAAAAAAACAGAAATACAACACATTTGTGGGTCACCAGCAGTATCGGCCTATTTTTAACCCGTTTCACTTGAAACGGACCTCACAACAGAAGGAGCCTTCGCTTGGACTCGAAAAAGAGCCCCGTCCCCGCCATCACGCAGCGCACAAACCAGGGTTGGGAATTAACGAGGGCTCGGGGCAAAAATGCCACCAAAATTCTTAAAAATGCTTCCAAAAACCAAGATATGGTGCAAAAAAATTCTTCTTATATTATAGTATTGCAAAGGCCGCCTCTGGTCACCAGTTGAGAATCAAGTGTATATTGTTACAGCCATATAAATGAGACGCATAAAGGGAGGGTTTTTTTAGCTTGATTGAGTGACTAATCAAAAACTTATGAACATATATAAAACCATGAAACCAATTACCATTGCAAAGTCTGTCTCGATCAGTCATTATAAAAGTACTGATATGATTGTAACTATCCAGGTTGTAATTGGTAGAGGTAACTGGTTGTAAATTTTCTGGCGATGTTGTTGGAGCTAACATACTGTAGACTGAACAGTGCTGTTACCTGTATAGTAACACAGTCTGTGCTGCTGCTGCTGCCCTCACTGGCTGGTTTAGGAGATCCAGATGTTCTCGGGGTCACGACCTGTGGAGGACTGAAATCACAGACGAAACTTGTGTTATAAAAACAGCACGTGTTGTCCACTTCTGTCCTGATTTCTTCGAGGGGAGCTTTCATTTCTGCTCTGACAGCTGCAAGACCAGCTGAACGCTGTGAGTGTGTGTTAGAAATCAGGAATGGTGAGAGAACATTGTGCTTGGTATGTTTTCCATCTTCAAAACAAACTTGGGTCTTCAGCCGACAAAGTTTAAATCCCGTCTGGCTAGAGCTCTTCCCATAATGTTACTCATTAGGTCAGTAGGTGGTACCTCTGGAAGTGGTTGAAAATGGACAAGCTCAAAACGTTTTAGACACCTGTATTTAACGTCGTCCACTTGTGATCCGATCGACCAAAACGCATCTTAATACCAGGTGTAAACAGGGCCTTGGATCAGTCATCAATCACTAAACATGTTGGAAACTGATTGAAATAAAACACTGCAAGTCAAACACTTTACTAAAATAACTACATGTGCTCCAAACATGTTTGCAAAAATGTCTTTAGCAAGCTGTGACATTGAATATGTGCATGTACAAGGTATGATTTGAGTGCCAGGCTGTAAACACATTGCTTGATGTCTTGGAGAAACAAAGAAAATAAAGAGATCTAAAGGCAGATTCATTTACTTCCAAGTGAACTGGCTCAATATTCATAATTCCTAAAGAAAAGCTTAAATAGGCCTTCAGACACACACCTCTCTGTTTGACTGCTCCTCTCACACTCCAGCTGAGCTTCCAGCAGAATCCTCTCCAGCTCCCCCTGCAGGAAGGAGGCGGTGGTGTCCTGTGCTCCTAACCCTTCTTCTGTGTGACCTGCAGATCCCACCAGACCCTCCAGCTCCACCCAAGAACCTGACGGACATATGAACCGTGTGGACTTCTGGTTACTTTTGGAGTGATAAAATGGACTCAGTTTAGACAGTGGAATCTGTTTGCATGACGTTCACTTGAAAGTTAAAACAAATTTATATGTAAACGTCAACATGAATACATCATGAATATATCCGTATTGTGACATATTTCCAGGCAGGGACTCAGCTGGATGATCTCACCCCGTCCCATCCCGTCCCTCCAATGAACGTGATTTTGGCCGAGCAATCTTTCCCAATCCTTTCCAGTGCCCTTTCTTTGCTTCAGCCCACTTCCCTGCAAAATATGCCTGTGCATGGCCCTTTTTCCAAGTAAAACTGGGATCTATCTGTCTGTCTGTCTATCTATCTATCTATCTATCTCTGTCTGTCTGTCTGTCTGTCTATCAATCTGTCCCTGGCTGTCTGTCTGTCTGTCTATCTGTCTAGATATCCATCGTTCTATGTCTCTGTCTGTCTGTCTGTCTGTCTGTCTGTCTATCTATCTGTCCCTGGCTGTCTGTCTGTCTGTCTGTCTGTCTGTCTATCTATCTGTCCCTGTCTGTCTGTCTGTCTGTCTGTCTGTCTGTCTGTCTGTCTATCTATCTATCTATCTGTCTATCTGTCTGTCTATCTGTCTAGATATCCATCATTCTATGTGTCTGTCTGTCTGTCTGTCTGTCTGTCTGTCTAGATATCCATCGTTCTATGTGTGTGTCTGTCTGTGCATGGCCCTGTTTCCAAGTAAAACTGAATTTTGTTTATCTATCTATCTATCTATCTATCTATCTATCTATCTATCTGTCTGTCTGTCTGTCTGTCTGTCTGTCTGTCTAGATATCCATCGTTCTATGTGTCTGTCTGTCGGTCTGTCTGTCTATCTATCTGTCTCTGTCTGTCTGTCTGTCTATCAATCTGTCCCTGGCTGTCTGTCTGTCTATCTATCTATCTGTCTGTCTATCTGTCTAGATATCCATCGTTCTATGTCTCTGTCTGTCTGTCTGTCTGTCTGTCTGTCTATCTATCTATCTGTCTATCTGTCTATCTGTCTGTCTATCTGTCTAGATATCCATCATTCTATGTGTCTGTCTGTCTGTCTGTCTGTCTAGATATCCATCGTTCTATGTGTGTGTCTGTCTGTGCATGGCCCTGTTTCCAAGTAAAACTGAATTTTGTTTATCTATCTATCTATCTATCTATCTATCTATCTATCTATCTGTCTGTCTGTCTGTCTGTCTGTCTAGATATCCATCATTCTATGTGTCTGTCTGTGTCTGTCTGTCTGTCTATCTGTCTAGATATCCATCATTCTATCCGTCTGTCTATCTGTCTGTCTGTCTGTCTGTCTAGATATCCATCATTCTATGTGTCTGTCTGTCTGTCTGTCTGTCTGTGCATGGCCCTGTTTCCAAGTAAAACTGAATTGTGTCTGTCTATCTATCTATCTATCTATCTATCTATCTATCTATCTATCTATCTATCTATCTATCTATCTATCTATCTATCTATCTATCTGTCTGTCTATCTGTCTATCTGTCTAGATATCCATCATTCTATGTGTCTGTCTGTCTGTCTGTCTGTCTGTCTGTCTGTCTAGATATCCATCGTTCTATGTGTGTGTCTGTCTGTGCATGGCCCTGTTTCCAAGTAAAACTGAATTTTGTTTATCTATCTATCTATCTATCTATCTATCTATCTATCTATCTATCTATCTATCTATCTATCTATCTATCTATCTATCTATCTGTCTGTCTGTCTGTCTAGATATCCATCATTCTATGTGTCTGTCTGTGTCTGTCTGTCTGTCTATCTGTCTAGATATCCATCATTCTATCTGTCTGTCTATCTGTCTGTCTGTCTGTCTGTCTGTCTAGATATCCATCATTCTATGTGTCTGTCTGTCTGTCTGTCTGTGCATGGCCCTGTTTCCAAGTAAAACTGAATTGTGTCTGTCTATCTATCTATCTATCTATCTATCTGTCTGTCTGCCTATCCATCGTTCAATCGTTCTGTCTGTCTATCATTCTATTGTTGTATCTCTCTGATTGTTGACATGAACACAAAAGCTTGCTTACATAAGCATTTTATTTCTGTCAGAGATTAGCCAGTCACCACTATCTCTCTCTCTCTCTCTCTCTCTCTCTCTCTCTAATTCTCTCTCTCTCTCTTCTAATCCTGACCTTCGTCATCTTTTTCCTCATGTGTCAAGCATCTTCTCTTTCCGCCCTTCCTCGTCATTTTGTGGTTATTTATCAGAGACAGTGGTTTTGCAGTGGAGAGAGGAGGGATTGTGCCATTGCTCCAGATTCTCCAGCATGTGGAATTGTGACATAACCACAGACGAGGGCCGTGTGTTACACATAACAAGCATAATATCAAGCTGTGAGTGTGTGCATGAGAGAATGTCTTTGTGTGTTTTATGAATGATAACGTATTCCCTGAGAGGGATTCGGTTTTATGAAGAACTTGTGTTCGGCAAACACTATTGTTTTCACATTTCCCCCTGCGGACAGTTTAAGCCACTGATCAAATTATGAGTTGTTAACCCTCTTCACAGTAATTGGCTTAGAACAGGCGAGTCATGGAATCTATTTACATAACAATACAGACAAAACAATGGCACAGCAAAATAAAAACACACAGGTTATATATGTGCACTGTAACACCAACCTTAGTGGTCACACACTTTGAACAAAAGTGATTGTGTTATTTTAAAATAGAATTCAGAAGTTAAATATATTTTATTATTTATTTATCTATAGAATTGAGTCTAAAATGTATTTTAAATCGTATTTATATGCTATTCTATTGAAAATTATAAGATTTGTATATGGGTATTAAAACAAAATTATAACTTTGCAGTTTAAATAATAATAATAATATCCATAAACATCAATATCACATGTAGCTTATTTCACATAGGCTATATGATATTGATATTTATGTATATTATTATTATTATTTACATTTATATCACAGGTTAAAAATAGGCCTTTCTATATAGGCTACACATCACAGGTTCAAACAATGAAGCAGTGTTATGTAAACATGCAGTCTTACCGTGCAGAGCATCGTCCGGTGTTTGAGATCCTGACAGAGACATGATGAGACAGAAGAGTTCAGGAGATGCACTGACTTCAGCTCCTATCGGCTTTCTTTCCCCGTGTTTAACAGTCCTCTTCGTTTGTTGACAACACTCACTTTTGTGGGTGTGTTTGAGTGGCTAATGCTCGCTGAGGATCACCGTTTCGTAGAGGACGTTTACCGTCTTTCCTCCAGGGGGCGCTCAATGGCTCATAAAACCGAAACCTCAATTTAATCACATTCAAAACACACGATGTTGTTGTTTTTTATTGCTTTATTAATTAGTTTCTTTATTTTTATTTAAAGTATTAATATTACATAAAAATGTGGGGTGGGGATCAGATGGTAAATTAGATATTTATATATCACAGATGACCATGCATAATGCGATCTAGTCTAATTGTTTAGTGGGCACCTGAATTGTGACACTGAAAATAATAAATAGACATTGTATTTAAAATAACTGGTCGATATATAAAAGAGCATAATAATTGTTTACAACCAATCGTTTCTGACCAATCAGAGACAACTTGCGGGACTCCACGCCCCGCCCTCCGTTTCACTGTTTTGCCATTCTCTCCACTTATTCTATTTTTATGACGTAAATGCGGTAATCTCTCTTTCTCCCCACGTGTTTCAGCAGGAGGTAAATATTGGCATCTTCCATTCTTTTCCATAAATAGACCTAAACGGGAGCCTATCTTATAAACTGGAAAACAACAAAAACTCAGCAAATTAAAGATTTGTTTATTTTATATTTCAAATCACCCAAGTCCAGATATGACACATGCTAAATGGTGTATACAATTATTTTAAAGGGTCAGTATTGGATGGTTTTTCTTTGATAACGACAAGTGTGAACAACACTGAGTGTATCAAAATAACTTACATGACAAAACAAAACATCCAGCATGTGTTGTTACCATTTAGAGTCACATGACCTCAAATAAACTTTTAACAACATGATAATCTCTTCTGATCACCACACACACCATCTAATCTTTTCACTGACAAAAAAGTACCATTGTACTCAGAGGTGTAGTGGTAAAAAAAAGAGGTGGGTAAACTATAAATTCTGGTGGACCACGACGTGGTCACCCGGTAAGTGGGCCACTGGTCTATGTGTATCCTGATGATCCTTTTCATACACTTGTCTAAAGCAAATCTGTCATTCACTTGTCCGAGTAAAAAAGTTGCTTGTCTGGATTTTGTTGTTGTTGTGTGTGTTAATTTATTCTGAAAAAATTCCCATCAGTGTTCAATTAGCGATATTTAAATCGGCATATTTTAATACCGTATCTGCACCTTTAAAGGGCATCCCCTCCCCCAATATTATTAAATGGATGCTTCCTCTTTCATTTTAAATTCCTAAATTTGATCAATAAATTCAATTATTTCGAAAAATACGACACTATAGGGCTGTTACCCTAGGTAGGGCGGATGAAATTAAATCATTTACACTGAAAAGTTACAATTGCATAAAATAATGTTATGAAATTGATTTAAATATAGAAACGTTGCAAAGAATGATAGCCTACTTCTTTTAAACATAACACTAAACCGCCAGTGGTGGCAGGCGACCGTCTAAATGAGTGAGTCATTGATTCATTCATTCAAACGATTTGTTCAAACAGCTGATTCATTCAAGAATGAGACAGATGTTTATGAATGGATGGGTCATTGAATCTTTGACTCAACCGATATGTTCAAAATGCTGAATCATTCAGTAATGAAAACAGGTTGAGTGTTCCTGTGTGTGTGTGTGTGTGTGTGTGTGTGTGTGTGTGTGTGTGTGTGTGTGTGTGTGTGTGTGTGTGTGTGTGTGTGTGTGTGTGTGTGTGTGTGTGTGTGTGTGTGTGTGTGTGTGTGTGTGTGTGTGTGTGTGTGTGTGTGTGTGTGTGTGTGTGCTGCGCTCATTTGTGTATTGTTAGATTTCTCCTCGAGAGGCTGCGCGAGCGTCAACAGTGCAACCTTACCGTCAGTATGCTATAGTCAACAACACTTACAGTAATGCAGCGCAATATGAATAAAACTAATAATAATGAACATACATTGTGTAAAGATCAACACTGACACTGATGATTTTTATTGCTTTGTGGTTTTCATAGCACAAAGTGATTTATTACATACAACTTTTTTCTTTTAAACCTGGGAAAGGTAGCTTTTCCACCTTTTGACCACAAGATGTCGTTAGTGCACCGTGTTGAAAAGCTTCGAGTAATGAACCAATTTACGATACACTTGTCTTGACAGAAGACAAAGACAGAAAGTCGTTGTTCTGCACGCATTTGAAGACAAAGGAGGGCATCAACTTTCGGTGTTTGAATGTTTGAAGGTGTATTTTATCTTGCTCAGCATTGTTGAAGTTAAATAACCGTAGATTCAGGCTCTTGCCGCGCGCGGGTTTAGTTGCGCATGCGTCAGTGTCCTGAGACAAATGCGTACATTCTTTGCCTTCACTCTGTGAGTCTTTCACCTCTTACTCCAACTCTCTGCCTTTAGCTTTGAAAAGGATAGCCGAGACAGTTTCATCATTGCTGCTGATCGGAGTGAAGTGCTGAGCTTTTCACTCATCTGCAGAGAAATATTCTTCATCCTCATCATTATCAGCAGCAGAGAAATATTCTTCATCCTCATCATCATCAGCAGCTGAGAAATGTTCTTCATCATCGTCATCAGCAGCAGCAGCAGCAGAAGTCCCAGATGACCCAGCCTCATTATTGTCTTCAAATTGGCCCGAATATAAATCAATTGCAGAAATCGTAGATGGCTCAGCCTCATCATCTGCAGACACCACAGCCTTCTCTACTTCATGTTTCCTGGTCATGAGATCCAAGGGCTTCTCTAAATACGGATCTCTTGCCAAATCGAAAGCGTCAATGTAAACCTGCCGATATACTTTTGGAGGTATTTCAGGGGGATACACCCACTTCTCCCTCTTATGTGCCTCATTCCTGAGCGAGTAATTGTAAGTTTTGAGCACAGAGAACTATATTTTGCAAGCACATTGCATTATATTTTGAACAGAAATTAACAATCGCAAAAAAAAAATTCGTTTGAGCAAAGAAAAAACGATTCCGTGCTCAATAAATGTATTTGCTATTATCCATATTAACGTGCAATAATAACTCCTCTCACGCAGTTTACTCAGGTGCTCTCTCACAAACTTATTCTCTGCGCTCCTGTCAAGTCCCTCTCTCTCTCTCTCTCTCTCTCTCTCTCTCTCTCTCTCTCTCTCTCTCTCTCTCTCTCTCTCTCTCTCTCTCAACCTCTTAATTCAACCTCTTAAGACAGAAACAGCTGCGTAGGGTACATCGTCGCTGTACTCGGATCCACCAGACCCTCCGGAGGGTTTCAGGAGTTTCACCATTTGTTCCAGGAGCTAGGTTTGGTGGATCTAACGGCGAGGACGTTGACGAGGACAGCGTAGGCCGTGTAAAGCCTCGGCCTCGAGTGGTCGCTGCCTGACGAGCCCGCGCTCTACAGCCCGGCAAGAGGTTCACCCTCGCCCACACATTTATTTGATAATAAATGGAGCCAGCCTCCAAAAGTGAAACCTGTCCTGTGATTTTTATTTATTTATTATACACTAAGTGTTTGTTGTTTTTACATTAAAATAAAATGTTTCATATAATCTAAAATAGATATGGAATAAATAGCATTCAATACAAAATGAGTACCATCTCTCATATATTAAAATCGAGATTTTATGTGAAAGATTTGCTTTGTTGTGCATTAGAACCACACCAGACATTTTAGTAATATTACAAAATAGTTTATTAAAATAACATAAACTTTCACTTCACCACGTGACAGCAGCAAGCAGGCTCCTGATTGGTTAACGCGGCGCGAATTGACGCAGAAGTGCAATTTTTTCAACTCGGGCGGCAGACGCGAATTCGCGTGAATGCACAAATAGCAGTAACTAAATCATTCGCGCGTATTTAAAAAAATAAGCTATGTGGCTAACAATGGTTTATAATGCTTACACATTTCATTCATCATGATAATCTTCACAATTGAACACAAGATTTAGGATTTTTGAAGCCTAAATACAATCGCTAGAAGTAAAAAGCTACACAATGTACAGCTCATTGAGGGGAGGAGCTAAAATAATAGGGCAGATTGTGGGCGGGGCCTGTTCTACTGTGACATCACAACTGATGCATTCCTGAACTGCTAATTTTGAGACACCATTTCTAAATTATGGGGAAATAAGAGAGAACATGGATTTTTACCATAATAGGATGGTTGTGTACACACACTGTAGGAGCCATGTAATGGGAAAGTCATGTGACCAAACTATAATGGGAGTGTCATTAATTAAGAGGGGTTAAAACACCTGTTGTGTGTGTGTGTTCATGGAAGAATGGGGGTGAGTGCTGGAGCACATATTTTGTTGACCGTGCAAACGTGCAAACGTGAAACTTGTACAAAATAAAACAACATGCAAGCTTCATGGATAAACGCGTCACAGAAGTCATTCCTCCACTCAGCTCCTTAGCGGTTTTTGGTTTGTTTTTTATGTGCCGCTACAAGTTAGTCAACAAAATTGTTTGTTTGAGAACGTGAACGCGTCGACTTTGGATTCAAGGAAGAGGCCCTCACGCTTTTACTGGACGGAAAGGATTGGAAGCGCCGCGCTGACTGACAGAGAATCGCCCTGCTCTCGCTTGTTTTAATGAGAAAGATTTGCACATTGGACTTTCAACGCAACAGGACCGATGTCCGTGGATATGTTTGCTGCTAACAACAATCATCGCACAATTGGACGTTCAAAGCAACAGGACCGACGTCTTCGGATATGTTTGCTGCTGTTGAACTGGTAGGACATTGGATTGTTACGTCTTTGCTTGTGTTCGCGGATGATTTGAAATGGTCTGGCAGTTTGCGGTTTGTTTACGATTGGTGCTGCGCTGTTGGTGTGTTTGATGGATCGTTGTTTAGATTGTTGGGCTTTTGCGAATCTATTGGAGTTGTGAGACATATCTGATGATATGCGTTGTTTTGGATTGTGTTCGCTTGTTTTGGGAAGCGTCTAAACGTACCGTATTCAGACGCGCTGAGGTGTGCGTGCTTCAATCATGAGTGAGATTGAAACGGGTGCGGATGTTGAACCTGAACAGTAAACAGTTTCTTTTCATGTAAAAGAAAAGTTCAACTCACAGCAAAGGCTTTGGCTTATAAACTTG